TGATCCTTGAGGTCCCTTCCAACCCTGGCCATTCTGTGATTCTGTGATATTTTAAGTAATCCAAAATGAAACTTGGCAATATAGAATGGTTTTTAGTTTTTAACAGAAATATTTTTGTTTGTATTAGATGGAAAAATCTATGATGCATGTGTCCTGTACACAAAAGGCTGTGAAGGCAGCAACTTCTATCGTCTGGAAACCTTTGTTCTTAGAATACTCCCCAACGTTTTAGAGCAACAATGTGGATATAATCTCTTTATATTAGGAAGGGATGACCTACCAGGAGAAGGTATGATTTAATTAGCAGAATTGATACATTGCTTTTTTACACGTTACTCTAGGGTTAGAAGATTATATTTACTACTGAGAAAACGTTTATTATGAACCAAATTTAAAACTGTAGGTTCTTTTTTGTTTGTTTTTAATGGAAAATTAGACATCTTATCTGATGGCCAATTTATTTCTAGTTTTCTTGTTGTTTTTGAATCAAATTTCTGTTATAATGGTCGGATCTGCTCTTTCTTTCTAAGGTAAGCAAATCAGTACTCTACTCTGTAAAATTATTATTATTATTATTATTATTATTATTAATACTGTTGAGGTCTTTTGAATAATAATTCTTCCTGGGAAGTGCAGGAAACATTTTTGTTCAGTGATTTCGTGCAATGGATGATGGCAGTTGGAGATCTTAGACCTTCGAGCTCTGTGAGCTAGTCACTCTTCTATATATATGCAATTTAAAGATGGTGCAATACTTTGTGTTTATAATAAACTTTCTATACAAACTTTGATTGTTGCTTCATTACTTCCAGCTGTGGTCAGCATTGCTGATGAAACCTTCAAGCAAAGCAGAAGACTGATGATTATTTTGGGATCTGAAACATTTAGTTGCATCCAGTTGGAAGATGCCTCTGAACAGCAATTAGCTTTGTATAGTGCTCTTATCCGTGATGAGACTCAAGTGATCCTTATAGAAATGGATGGAGCGCAGGACTACACAAGCATGCCAGAATCAATCAGATATATTAAGCAAAAGCACGGGGCTATCCAGTGGAAAGGAGATTTCTCAGAGAAATTTTGTTCAGCAAATACAAGATTCTGGAAAAACGTGCGCTATCAAATGCCAGCCAAGAAAAAAGTGTCTTTTTCTGAAATTTATTTGTCACCTCAAACTTTGAACAATTCTGCAGCAAAGGGGAATTAAGATCTACTTACCAAAATAGTACTGAGAAGGTAATTCGGAAATATGTTTTCTACACAAATTCTTTGTATTACGAACAGAGCTTTTTTTGGTCAAAAAGTAAAAACTGCTCATCCCTTCCTGGAAATTACACCTTAAAAGGAAAACTGTGCAACTGTGTTTCTGTTTCAGCTACAAATAATGGCACAACTTACTCAGGCTTATGCCTGAATTAAGCATTGTGGATGTTGGCATACTGTTCAGGAGTGGTAATCCACATTAGTTTAATGTCCACTGAAGAATCAACTGTGAGGTCTGTTTGTTTTCTAATTCAAACTGCTGTTGATGTTTATGTAGACTGCATTTTCCTAGCAGTTCTGTTCCTCTTGTTTTTGCCCCTCCAGAATTATCTGACCTCATTACCGTAAAAATCTGTACTGTGCAAGTTTTGGAGTCCACTCTTGAGTAACAAGCCTTACCCTTGTTTCTTGCAGGGGATAGGGAAATACTGGGGAGATTTGAAATGCCTCACAGTACTGCATGCATTTCAGTTGAACCAGTGATTACCAAATATGCTAAACAAATGGAGTGGAATTCATGAATTCTCACACATTTATTAAATAATTCTGTAATACCTGGTTTGTGGAGTGTTTCTAAACTTTGTCCCTTGAAATGGTCAGGAAACTGAAAATATTTATGACTTCTTTCAAAATGGAAGCTTTCTAGACTTTGTTGCTATTCAGGAAAACATGTTCTCATTCTGTTTCTCACCTGTATTAAGTGCAAACCTAGAAATTTCACTCAGTCTGTCAATGGACTGTAGTTGGGCAGGGCATTCTTGGGACTGGAAAGTGGCCAGTTCTGAAACCTGATCAGGAGTTGATGGCAAGAGATGATAATATTTTGTGTACTTGTGAAAGAAAAAAAAGTAGAGGTGTGTGGCTATCTCTGTTTGCTTGGAAGTAGTTCTGTATTTTTGGATACCAACCCATTGTTCTGTGTGCACTGCTGTGTAAAAGGGATGAGTCACAATGGTCTGAAATTGCAGCAGTTTTCATTCACCATCCTTGAAGAGTGTCATCTGAGTGCAGACATGAATTCTGCTTGCTTTATAAGTGTTCTTATCTAATGAGCAGATTCTTAAATTATCTTCATTACCAACATGGCATCTGTCACAGAATCCTTTCAGCTGATTCTCAGAAGTATGCATACTTTCGAATATGTACATGGTTGGGCTTTATTTATGAAGATGAGAGAGAAGGAATGGCCCAGGACTGTAACATGTATTAAAGGAAATATTTGCAGTAGTATTTTGTGGTAGCTATTTCTTTGTGAAAGTTTAATGATGCTCCTTATGTGTAGTATTCTGCTCTCCTGACCAAGGGTTTCACAGCTGTTTAATTTTCCAAACCTCTACAAGCTTTTTCTAAGATGTTGCCCTGGAAACTGAGTTCAGAATAGGTCCATCAGCTGAGGTTCTGTTGCTGTAGTAGATTTTGAGTTGGTCTTTTTTAGAAATGCATAGTCTTGAGATTGGAACCTTTAAAAAATAGATTTAGAAGCCTGAGAATTTAGATAATTATTAATGTTAATTTTTACATTGTGCTTAGATGTAGGTTTGCTCAGAAAGGCATTGAAAAATACAGTTTGCTTCCAAGATTTCTTTTGACTTTTGTTTAGAAACAGAATCATCTTATTTCTGTGGGATGAAGTAAGGGAAATAATAGAAAAATCATGTTGAAAAAAAAGCCTTTTTTTTTTTTTATTTTTTTTTTCTTAAGGTATTTATTTTCATTTGCTTTTAAAAAAAATTTGAAAAAAAAAAAAAAAAAAACACCCAGTGTAGCATTTGCAGTACTACTGATAAGTACACTGATTTGCATGAAGGTGTACTGGTATTTTTTGTGTTTTCTGCTGTTTTAAATAACCACATTTCGTCAGTGTTTTAGCTTTGTACATGTGTGAAAAAGTGTGGGAGAATAGTTTTGGCTACTGTGCTTAACTGTTAACTACTTGAGTGCAGCATGACACAGAGTGGCTTACCCTTTTATCATGGGAGATTATTCTGAAGCTGAATTTTGTAACTGGTTTCTCCCTTTGGAAACTCTTTTTTGCAAGTCACATAGGAAAACAGACATTTTCTCTCTCTCTTTTTTTTTTTTTTTTTTTTTTTTTGTAGTACAACAAATGAACTCCTGTAGAGAGAGATGGTACTGATTGTTCTTGATTAAAAACACACAACAAAAAAAGATTAGTTGGCAAAAGTTTGATTCCGGAAACTTGGTAGCTTCAGAAGATAAAAAACAAGTATGATATAATCTGTGAGGTATTTGTTCGCTACAATGTGGTTGATATACTTCAGTATGCTGTTCAGTGTGCTGACAGAGTAAATAATCTGAATGGTATATGATAGAAGATACACTGAACATATTATCTGCATCAATTTTTATTTCAAGCCATAACTATACAGTATTTCTCCTGCTGGTTTGTGCTTTCTTTTCTTGCTTTCTGGGATACTTTCATCCTTTTGTTATTTTCCTGCCTTTCTTGCCTTTGTAAGCTAGCATGGTGAATATGGCATGCTTTGCATTTTAATGTATGCGTCTTTATGTGAAGTGTTAGGTCACAGCCTGAACCAGTGATTAAGCACCTGGTGAAGGGGTATAGCCAGTCCTGGGAGCACAGGAGGAAGCAATTCATCTGTGTGACCAGAAGGGGTGGACTCTGGCTTCACTCCTCCCTAATTTCACGTAAAGGCTGGCAGACACAAGGGAAATATCTCTGCTTGGAAATCATCTCCTTTGAAGTGCTCAGTGAGCCTAGATCCTCAGAAAGGAGTGAGTGGTTCCTTTCTTATTACTAGATTGTGGCCGTAACCTTTCCTAGGTGATCTAAGGTCACTGTGTCATTACAGTTGGTGTTATAGTTCTGCTTGATGATTACCATGACTGTGTGGAGTCAGCATTTCACTCTGAAGGAAAGTAGAAATCTCACCAAATCATTCAGGTGAATTTTCTACTCCAGAAAGGTTGGAGTTCAATTGCTGCTCCAGATTGGGTGACTTAGATGTAGGTTCTTTTTTTTGTGTGTTTGCTCCTCGGCCAACTCATATGATCTTCCCTGAATGTTTTTGAACAAAGAAGTGGCTGTAGTTGAAGGGATTATTTAAAAAACTGTCTCATTCTTTTCTTTTTTTTTTTTTTTTTTTTTCCCCACCAGGTTTCCTTGGTGGGTGTTATTTCTGTTTGCAGTTATTAAAATCCTTATTCTCTCTTTCCCATATCTAACTAGTGACATGTCAGTGGAGCGCTTCCTTGTTCTGCATCACCCCAGTACTGCCTCAGCTCTTTCATTTTTTAGTGCTATTCTTTGATCTTTTCTGCTTGCTCGTTTTCTACTGTGAACATATACAATTACAGACATGAAAGTTTGGAAGGGCCTAATTCAAGTCCATAAGAATATATTTATAAATATTTGTCTCTTGGAGCACATTGGTCCTGGTACCCATGTTTCTTGTGTTTTCCCCCTCCCACCAGTTTTTTTCAGATATGCCTACCTCTCTTCTGTTCAGTGGAAGTGGGTGATTTAGAAAGCAATTTAGCCTGTCTACACTTATTATATTTCTCACTTCTATGGAAGCATGCCCACACTTTATCAGTGAGGTCTTTATTTTTGGGGTAAGGTGTGTCACGATCACATAATTACAAATAGAGCACAGGAAAAATAGAGGAATAAGTGCATCCTTGCAAGAGTAAAGAACTTAGGGATAGGCAAAGGATGTTGGAGACTTCCCCCACTTCTTAAATGGTAAATAATATTCATCTGTCCCTTTAAAACAGAAAAAACAATGGCAATTAACTCCCTCACGTATTGCATACAGGAGCAAATAGTGAAACAGTTAACAAGCTTGCTTGACAGGTCCCTAGAAGTGTTCAAGGCCAGATTGGATGGGGCCCTGAGCAGCCTGGTGTAGTATTAAATGGGGAGGTTGGTGGTCCTGCATGTGGAAGGGGGTTGGAGATTCATGATCCTTGAGGCCCCTTCCAACCCTGGCCATTCTGTGATTCTGTGACAGGGGCATTCACAGTGGAAAAGAATTTGTATGCCATATGTCCCCATAGCATCTGTTTACTCTCTCTTCAGGGTCATGACATCTGATTCTACTTGATATCTGGCTCTGATTTCAATATTTTTAGAGAAAATTAGACTATATTTCCCTAGAGACTGAAGAGAATAGAACACATGCTGACTACTGCAAGACAAGCTTTCCATAGAAGTGCATCACCTCAGCCTAAATCTGAATGGCTTGATATAAGTATATATTTAAATGAGCCAAGGACGTGCTGGTGTGCCGCCTGCTGTCACTTTTTAAAACAACTCCTAGTGTTGTTGTGTTGGGCGTTTTTGGAGTATCATATGGTTGGTTGGGCACCTCTAGGAGATGAATTAACTTATTTTTTATAATAAAGTCACATCCAAAATGCCATAGGATGGGAAAGGATCAGGGGATGGCAGAGTGAGGGCTGGTGGCAGTAACACCCTGCCCTGTAAAACAGCTGTAGGAATCAATGGGATAGTTCCCTCCTCCCCAGGTACCAGGGAGGTGAGCAGCAGCCTTGTGCTGTGCTATGCTTCTACCTATTGATGCTGGGGAGGGAGGCAGGAGTGCAGCTCTTGCAATTTGCATTTGCAAAAGCCTTTTTTACATCAGATGATAACAAAATGCTGTTACCTATAGTGACATGCCACCCCTTTGGACATACTATAAAGGAAGAGTAAAAAAAAAAAAAAAAGTATATATTCTGACTGCTGTTCTGAATTATACTAATTACTATTTTTAGTGCTTTTCTCATCCTTTGTAGGAACTAGCAGGGAATGTAGTGGAAAATGACATTTTTTACCTTTGTGTCCACACATCAGTTAATTCTGTACCTCTGAATTATTTGAGAAGAATTATCCTCTGTAGAATTGTGGGTTTTTTTATCAGTATCCAGCATAGACAAATTGAGACTGACTGCTTAATGTTGAGCAGTGCTCCCCGTTGATTATTCAAGGCTAAGAGCACAAAATGTACAGCATTTTATTTCAGAGAGGCATTCCGACAAAACAAATCAACCACACGTGATGGCTGGAGGACCATTACCAATCATGTGCTCTCTGGGCAATCCACAGAGCACTTGATACGTTGAACTGTAGAGAATTTGTGCCTAATTAACTGCCTAGACCACAGACTCGATCCCAAATGGATCCAATGAATGCAGAGAAAGAAAGTCTTGATGTCTGGGATGTTGAAGAGTTTGTAAAAGCCGCCTTCTGCAGATGGCTGGTGAGCAAAATTCAGCAATTCCAGAGTTCTCTAAGAGAGATTATTTCAGGATTGACTCTCAGGTTGTAAACTGAAGACAGTTTGCAAAATGAAAGTGATTGGGAATTTCAAATCCTAGCTAGAAAACTTTGCAAAAGTCTCAGAGGAGCAGACTCTTGTACTTGGGTTAATGCAGTCCAATCAACAGATCCCACCTTGTCTCAGGCAAAATGTAGATGGGGTTCCAGAGCTAAATGTGAAGATGAACCTTAGGAGAAAGTGATTAAATGAAATAACACAGGGATGTGAGACAGAACAATTGGTAATGC